ACTCAGGAGGCTGAGATCTGAGGATCAAAATTCAAAGTAGGTGAGATACAACTGCAATTAACCAGAAAACCAAAAGTGGAGCTGTAAATGTAAGTGGTAGAGCACTAGTCTTTAAAAAACAAAAAATTATGGGCTGGGAAGGTGGCTCAGTGGTAGAGCGCTTGCCTTGCATGCATGAGGCCCTGGGTTCGATTCCTCGGCCCCACATAAGCAAAAAGAAAAAAACCGGAAGTGGCGCTGTGGCTCAAGTGGTAGAGTGCTAGCCTTGAGCTGAAGAGCTGAGGGAGAGTGCCCAGGCCCAGAGTTCATGCCCCATGACCGGACCCAAATAAACAAAATAAAACAAAAAACTAGGGCTGGGAAGGTGGCTCAGTGGTAGAGCGCTCATGTTGCATGCAGTGGTAGAGCGCTTGTGTTGCATGCATGAGACCCTGGGTTCAATTCCTCAGCACCACATAAGCAAAAAAGAAAAAAAACGGAAGTGGCACTGTGGCTCAAGTGGTAGAGCGCTAGCCTTGAGCTGAAGAGCTGAGGGACAGTGCCCAGGCCCAGAGTTCAGGCCCCATGACTGGACCAAAAAAAAAAAAAAAAACCCAAAACAAAACTAAAATTGCCAGGCATCAGTGGCTCACACTTGTAATCCTAGCTACTCAGGAGGCTGAGATCTGGGGATCACAGTTCAAAGCCAGCCCAGGCAAGAATGTCTGTGAAATTCTTATTTATTTTCTTTTATCGGTCAAGGGGCTTGAACTCGGCCTGGGCGCTGTCCCTCAGCTCTTCAACTCAAGGCAAGCGCTCCACCACTTGAGCCACAGCACCACTTTAGTTTTCTAGTGGTTTATTGGAGGTAAGAGTCTCACGGAGTTTCCTACCCAAACTGGCTTTGAACTCTGATCCTGAGATCTCAGCCTCCTGAGAGGCTAGGATTACAGGTGTGAGCCACCAGCGCCCGGCTTCCATGAGATTCTTAGCTCCAATAAACCACCAGAAAACTGGAAGTGGCACTTTGGCTCAAGTGGTAGAGTGCTAGCCTTGAGCTGAAGAGCTGAGGGACAGCGCCTAGACCCAGAGTTCAAGCCCCACAACCCACAAAAAAATAATAAAATAAAACAATAAACAAAAAAATAAACAAAAAACCCCAACAGGTACAACACCCAGGCTCTGAATTCAAGCCCCACAACTGACAAAAATAATTTTTATTTTGTTGGGTCTGGTCATGGGGCTTGAACTCTGTGCCTGGGCGCTGTCCCTCAGCTCTTCAGCCCAAGGCTACCAATCTACCACTTTGAGCCACAGCGCCACTTCTGGCTTTTTTCTTTTTTTTTCTTTTTGCTGAGGAATCAAACCCAGGGCCTCAGGCTTGCAAGGCAAGCGCTCTATCACTGAGCCACCTTCCCAGTCCGACAAAAATAATTTTAAAAAAAATTGAGCCAGGTGCTTGTGGCTCACACCTGTAATCCTAGCTACTAAGGAGACTCAAATCTGAGGATCGAGGTTCAAAGCCAGCCCAAGCAGGAAAGTCTGTGAGACTCTTCTCTCCAATTAACCACCAGAAAACTGGAAGTGGTGCTGTGGCTCAAGTGGTAGAGTTCTTGCCTTGAGGTGAAGAGCTGAGGGACGGTGCCCAGGTTCAAGCCCCATGACCAAAAAAAAAAAAAAAAAATTTGGATTGGATAGGAGGCAGGAACTAGCAGGATGAGGGATGTTGGGGAGGACTAAAGAGTATGAATATGCATGCACATATGGAAATAGGAAAATGATATCAGTTGAAATTGACAAGAGCAGGGATTGAGGGAGAGTGGTAGAGGGGGTTGACAAGGGTACATTGTCTGCATGTAGGGAAATGTTACAATGGAGTAAAACTAATAGATGCTAATCAAAAATTTAATTTACAAAACCTATTGGGGCTGGGCACCAGTGGCTGACTTCTGAAATCCCAGCTGCTCTAGAAGTTGAGATCTTAGGATCACAGTTCAAAGCCAGGAAAGCCTTATGTCGTTGAGACTTTCATGTCCAAGAGACTCATCTCTAACCAACAAAAAGCTGGAAGTGGAGCTGTAGCTCTAGACGTAGAGCACTATCCTTGAGCACAAAAGTTCAGGGACAGTGCTCAGGTCTGAGTTTAAGCCCCAAGGCCAGCAAACACACACACACACACACACACACAATTGGAAATAGAAAAGACATTATTGGGGCTGGAGATGTGGGGCTCAGTGATAAGGGCTTGCCTAGCATGCACAAGACCTTGACTTCCATTCTGAGCACCACAAAACAAAAACCAATATTCACTTCCTATCTGTGTGACCCCTGGGCACAATCTATGTTATACTTCCTGTCCAGCTAAGATAATAGGTGTGCATCACTACATGCAGCTCTCTAGAGAAGGGGTCTCAGGACATTTTTCTGCCTCACCTAGCCTCAATCCAATATCCTCCCAAAATTCAGCCACTAATCCCAGCTGCTAGCTAGGATTATAAGCATGAGCCACACAGCTTGTGTAAATGATCACTTTGGATCACTAATTGAAAATGGTGGAAAACCAATGCAAAATTTTGGAAACTGAGGAAATACTATACCCTAATAAATCACTTTAAGGTATATGCCCAAGAGAAACTCTTGGATACATGTTCAACCAGAGATATTCACCAGGAATATTCTTAAGAAACATAGTTTGAAATAGAAAAAAAAAAAACAGGAAATCCTATTTCCATCCTTAAGGCAAAGAGATTAATAAACTGTGGTATAGTAACACAACAAAAAGAATATCGAGCAAGGAAAAGTGAATAAAACTGAGTTGAATGAACCTTACTAGTTTAATGCAAAAAGGAAGTATATACAAGGACAATAATAAACTATTCCCTTCATAAAAGTTCAAAGATAGGGGCTGGGAAGGTGGCTCAGTGGTAGAGCGCTTGCCTTGCATGCCTGAGGCCCTGGGTTCGATTCTTCAGCACCACATAAGCAGAAAAAAGCCGGAAGTGGTGCTGTGGCTTAAGTGGTAGAGTGCTAGCCTTGAGCTGAAGAGCTTGAAGGACAGCGCCCAGGCTGAGTTCAGTCCCACGACCGACCAAACACACACACACACACAAAAGTTCAAAGATAAAGCCAAACAGTATGTTTTGTTTTTGGTGGGTCAGGGGGCTTGTACTTAGGGCCTGGATACTGTATCTGAGCTTTTGTGCACAAGGCTAGTGCTGTACCACTTTGGAGCTACAGCCTCACTTCTGGTTTTGTGGTGGTTAAATTGGAGATAAGTCTCATCCACTCTCCTGCTCAGGCTGGCTTTGAACCGTGTATGATCCTCAGATGTCAGCGTCCTGAGTAGCTAGGATTACAGGCATGAGCCACTAACACCCAGTTAAACAGTATATTTTATAGGCATGTAAAGATGTGTAATTTTTTTCTTTGAAATACATTCTTCCAGCCAGGTGCTGGTGGCTCATAAGACTTATCTCCAATTAACCACCAAAAAAACAGTAGTGAGGCCCGGTGCCAGTGGCTCACACCTGTAATCATAGCTATTCCGGAGGCTGAGATCTGAGAATCAAGGTTCAAAATCAGCCCAGACAGGAAACTCTGTGAGACTCTTATCATTAATAAACCACTAGGAAAGCAGAAGTGGTGCTGTGGCTCAAGCCTTAAGAGCACTGGCCTTGGCACCAGGAAAGCGCCCAGGCCCCATGACCAACAAAACAAAACAGTAGTGGGGGTGTGGCTCAAGTGGTAGAGTTCCAGCCTTGAGCAAAAAAGTTTGGGGACTGTACCCAGGCTCAGAGTTGAAGCCCAAGACCAGCACAACACAAGAACTAACAACAATAACAAAAACAGAATTCTGGCCGGTGGTATCCAGGACACGCGGATAAGGAACAAATAGGTGAAAAAAATGTAGATGAATGTGGTTTTATATCTGTCCCTTCAAGGGATAAAACTCGACTTTGCAATGAGTATTCATGGTATTAAGTTATAAACATGTCAATTTTAAAATGAGGTTCATACATGGATCGATGATTATTGTGTGTCATTAACTAGAGATTATAACTAATCCATTCGGTCGACTGGAAGTCCGCCTCCCCAAAACAGTAAAACTGCCTTTCCTAGTCAGGGCCAGCCAAGGGAGAAACTGAAACGAGTGGGAGGGGCGGTAACTATTTTCACTTTTCCCTTCCTGTTTTGTCAGAGATTGGGAAAGCAAGTCAGAATTTCTAATCTTTTCCAATCCCACACCATTTCCTAATTTGAATTGAGAGAACCTAAGTCTCCAAGTGGAGAAGACTCCCGGGGCCGCCCGGGAGGAAGCTGCGTGGGGCGCACACGCGCGCTCAGCCCGAGGAGCCGGGCACTTAGCGTGACCCCCGGGGGACTGGGATCTTTAGGGCCACACTCCCCCAAAGTGGCAGGGAGGAAGCTCGGGGTTTACTCGTGGGCGCCCCCGAAGGCCGGAGTTTAGCGGGGCAGGTGACAGCCCCGAGCCCGGTCGCGCGCGGCGGCGATCGTGGCCCTGTACCTCGGCACCAGACGGCGCCTCGTGGGCTATCCGGGTGCCGTCCACCACCGGCCTTCGCGGGCGCAGCAGGCCCGGGCCTTTCCCCGTGCGGGGCGGGCGGCTGCAGGGCAAGCAGCCCTGGCTCGGCTCCAGACCCGGCCCGGGGTGACATCACCACACTCCTCCGTTCCGCGCGGGGGGGGGGACCCGAAATCCCCTAAAAACAGAGTGAGTAATCGCCGGCCCGCCCTCCAGGCGGGGCGAGACCCAAGAACAAGCTGAGCGGCAGGAGCGGCCTCCAGGCGGGAGCGCTTTGGTCGCCGGCGCGGTGCGCTCCGGTCCCGGCTCCCCGGCCCCGGCTCCCCGGCTCCCGGCGGCGGCGCGCGCGGCCTCTCCGTCCTCCGCGCGGCGCGCACTGGCTGCGGATCCCCGCGCGCGGCGGCTCGGGCAGCGGCGCAGCGCGCAGGCGCGGCCGGATTCCGGGCAGTGACGCGGCGGCGGGCGCGCGCGGCGCATTTCCGCCTCTGGCGAATGGCTCCGCTCTAGCGCGCGCCGCGGGCTCAGCTGCGACCCCGGCCCCGCCCCCGGGACCCCGGCCATGGACGGTGAGGGCGCCCTCTAACCCCACGGGGTAGCCGTGTCCGGGCGAGCGGGGCAGTGGCGGCCCCCGTACGCCGCCTTCTGCGCCGCGCGAGGTGCTGCGCAGGGAGCGGCCGGCCGGATGGTGGCGTGGGGCGGGGCGGGCAGCGAGGGGTCTGACTCAGTTTCCCTCTCGGTGTAGGGGGGAGCGTTGCGCAGTACCTCCCCGGGTAGGAGTGTGGGGTGAGCCCTGACTCACTTTTCCCCTCTCCAGGGCCCATGGGGGGCAGTTCTGAGTTCGTTTCCTTGTTAGGGGAGAACATATCTGAGCCTGCTTTCCGCGGGGGGGGGGAGGGGGGTAGTGCCCTCTTTTCAGTGCCCCTTATGAAAGTGAAACTTGCCCTGACTCAGTTTCCTTTTGCAGAGTAGGCATTCCATAACCCTTCTTCTTTGAGAAGCAGGGGCTGCTGCTCCCTTAGTTTCACCGCAGGTTGTAGAGGCGGGTGCTGACTCCTAGAGGAGCCCGGCTCCATCAGATGCCCCTCCTTACCCTGTAAGGACTGACAGTGTCTTTCCCTTCCCTTTCAGACCTGTTCCCCCTCATCTTCCCCTCAGGTAAGTGGACGGGCCTTTGGTAGTAGCAGAGGAGGGGCTATTGGGGTTCAGGACCACAGGGGCAGCCCCTGATGGCACTGGCTGTGCCTCCAGCAGAGCCAGCCCAGGCTTCTGGCCCTTATGTGGAGATCATGGAGCAGCCCAAGCAGCGGGGCATGCGCTTCCGCTACAAGTGCGAAGGGCGCTCTGCGGGGAGCATCCCTGGTGAGAGGAGCACAGATACCACGAAGACCCACCCCACTATCAAGGTCAGCACTGACCCCCAGGGATGGGTGGGAGCACGGATGGAATGGGAGGGACCCCAGGAGCCCCAGGCCACTTGCCTCTCAGGCTGCTTTACATCCATCCCCCCATCCCCCGTGTCCGAGAGCCAGGTTTGGGATTGCTGGCCTTCTAGAATACTCTGTACTTTGGACAGATCAATGGCTACACAGGACCAGGGACAGTTCGCATCTCCCTGGTCACCAAGGATCCTCCACACCGGCCTCACCCTCATGAGCTCGTGGGGAAGGACTGCCATGATGGCTTCTATGAGGCTGAGCTCTGCCCTGATCGGAGCATCCACAGGTGAGCGTCCTGCAGGCCTGAGGTGGGGAGGTCAGGGGAGGGGACTGGAGGCAGAGGGCTGGGGAGTGGTTACAAAGTTTCTCCTCTCTGGGCATAAAGTCAAATTTCTCTCTCCTTGTTCTGCCCAGCTCTGCAAGCTGAATTCTTTGTCTTGAAATCAATCTGTGAATATATCTATTGAACTGATGGACTTTGTAACTAATGAACTACCTGTTGACAAGAATTAATTACACAAATAAATAGACAAGACTCCTTGAGAATAATGATTTCACTAGTAAAAAGAAAACAGGGTAGGAAGTGGGAATGTGGCTTAGTGATAGAGTGCTTGCCTAGCATGCATGAAGTCCTGGATTCAATTCCTCAGTACCACATACACCAAAAAAGCCAGGAGTGATGCTGTGGGTCAAGTAATAGAGTGCTAGACTTGAGCAAAAGCAGCTCAGGGCCAGTGCCCAGGCCCTGAGTTCAAGCCCCCCAAAATAAAGAAAAATAATAGAAAATAAAGAAAAAAGAAATCAGGGTAACAGGTTGAAAGGATAACTAACCCAAGGCTGGGGAGCTGGTCTCATTCTTTTGGATTGAGAAATCAGAGAAGACCTTTTTTCTAAGACTTGGTGAGAAAGAATAGAGATGCATGGAAAAGCATTCCAAACCAAAGGAACAATGACTTTGAAGTAGGAGTGAGTTTAGTCTGATTAGGGAATGGGGAAGAAGCCCCTGTGGCCAAGAATGGGGAGCCTGGGGTGGGGGGAGGGTGTCTTGTCCCCAAAGTGAAGGACAAGAAAGCCTTTGAAGGCTGTGGAGCACCCCAGCAGGTGAGGAGCGGCCATCTGGGCCCTGCTGAGACAGGGAAGTAATTTTTTTTTGGGGTGGGGGGTTACTTCAGCTTCCAGAACCTGGGTATCCAGTGTGTGAAGAAGCGGGACCTGGAACAGGCCATCAGCCAGCGCATCCAGACGAACAACAACCCCTTCCAAGGTGAGGGGCAGGGGAGAAAAGGCCTGGAGCCTGCGCCCCACCCCCACCGCCGCCATCTTCCCCTGGCTGTCTGTCATGCCTGTCCCTCAATGCCAAGACTCACAGTATAGATGGACTCTTCCCTCCCATACCTGCCACGCTCCCATTTTACCACTGACACACAGGCCCAGAGATGCGGAGTGACATTCTGGGTCACAGTGGAGTCAGCAATGGGACCAGAACCTGGTCTTCCTCCTCCTCCCAGGCCTTCTGTCACACCCGCCCTCAAACAGCCAGAGCTCCCTGCCCTCCTTCATCCCTTCCCTCTGCCCCTCCCTAACCCCATCTGCTCTTCTGGCAGTTCCCATAGAAGAGCAGCGTGGGGACTATGACCTCAATGCCGTGCGGCTCTGCTTCCAGGTGACAGTCCGAGACCCATCCGGCAGGCCACTCCGCCTGCCGCCTGTCCTCTCTCATCCTATCTTTGACAACCGTGAGTGGCCAGGTTGCCTAGGGAAGGGGCCAGAGGGTGGACCTGGGTAGGAGGAGGGGGCTGAGGTGGGTGTGGCCTGTGAAAGGGGCTTTGTGCAGTTGTCCAGCACGTTCATCCCCTCGTTGTGCCCATGGTGCTGGTTGAGGACAGGGGAAGACCCAGAAGTGCCCCCCAAGTGTCGCTCCCAGGCTGTCTGGGAGTGTGCTGGGAATCAGATGTTTTGCATATCATGTGCCCAGAGGGTGGCATGCCAGGATCTGTGCTAATGACTCTAGGAAGTGGACTCCCCGGAACCGGCCATGCTAGACAATAACATTGCAATGACAGAGGTTCCTAGGAACTTCCAGGTGAACTGAGCTGACATTGACCAATCGCAGTCTTTCAGTAACCAGCAGGACGAATGAAAATAAAAGGGCTCTCGAGCCCCAAAGACAGGAAACCAAGATAAACTGGAGGGGGGCGGAGAACTTGTTGCCAAGATGGGGATAAACCAGATCCTGAACCTATGCTTGGGTTGGGTGGAGAAAGAGAAAGCGGGACCAGCTAATTCCCACCACAAGGACATTGATGCTTAGGTGTTCATCACTGTTGTCTTCCCCTGGCCTGGAGTCCTACTGAGCACTGAACCTAGCAGGTGAACTAGTTGCTGCATTGGTTGGGTTCTAGGAGCAACTGGAATAGTCTGACTTTGAGCACGGAGGTGAGGTTGGCAAGCTTTGGGTAATCTTGACGCTGGGCTGGGCTGTTGCGACTCCAGCAGGCCACCCTGGGGACTTGTGGTGGCTCAGGGCTTCCTTCCTGATTGTCACACCCTCAGGCGCCCCCAACACTGCAGAGCTGAAAATCTGCCGAGTGAACCGAAACTCTGGGAGCTGCCTGGGCGGGGATGAGATCTTCCTGCTGTGTGACAAGGTGCAGAAAGGTACACTCGAGGGGCAGGACTGGACTCTTTGGACTGAGCGGTGAGGGCAAGCTGAGCAGAGGTGGTGAGTGCCATGTGGCTGGCTTCTGGTGCCCCCCGCACCCTGGTGTCTTGGACAGCAGGGTGAAGTCTCTGGAGACAAGCGCCGGAGGTTGGGGCAGCAGGTTTGGGAGGTTTCAATGCCTGACTGACCTGCTGCCCATCTCCTGCAGAGGACATTGAGGTCTATTTCACGGGACCTGGCTGGGAGGCCCGAGGCTCCTTTTCTCAAGCTGATGTGCACCGGCAAGTGGCCATTGTATTCCGGACCCCTCCCTACGCAGACCCCAGCCTGCAGGCACCTGTGCGTGTTTCCATGCAGCTGCGGAGGCCTTCTGATCGCGAGCTCAGTGAGCCCATGGAGTTCCAGTACCTGCCAGACACAGGTACACAGCGGGGGAGGCTGCAGCCCACTCCCGTGGCCTCCACCAACAAGTGGGGGCAGAACTTGGGATTTATACTGTACAGTCGTTACCATGTCAGCCCCACATAACATCTTGGTCACATCCTGAGGTTCCTATAATGGTGAATTCATCAAACTGCATTTCTCAGGGGCCCCATCTCTGACACGTGTCTCCCCAGAACCCATTTCATACCTCATTTAAAATAGTGACACTCAAAGCTTACTCTGAGTAAGGTTATTAACTACATCTGCCCCTGTTCCAAGAGTTTCTGCAAAATAATTTTAAGCTCCCTACTTTTTTGAGGACTGAGACTGGTCTATGCTCCTTTATCAGTGGGGACAAGGCATCTAATCACAGGTCCCTGGCTCCACAGATCTGTTACTGTGCTGTGTGTCTTTTTTTCCTCTCTCTTTTTTTATTAGTTTATGTTAACATAAAGGGATTTCACTGTGCTACTTCCATACATGTGTATGATGTACTTTGAGCAAATACTTCTACATAATTTTTTGTTGTTGTTGGTAGTGGTGGTCATGGGCCTGGACTCTGTCTGTGAGTGTTTTTGCTCAAGGCTAGCATTCTACTTCTTTGAGCCACAGCACCACTTCCAGTTTTCTGGTGGTTCATTGGAGATAAGAGTCTCATGGACTTTCCTGCCCAGGTTGGCTTTGAACCACAGTCCTCATATTTCAGCCACCTGGCTCCATAATTCTTTTCTTTTCTTTCTTTCTTTCTTTCTTTCCTTCCTTCCTTCCTTCCTTCTTTCTTTCTTTTTTTTTTGCCAATCCTGGGGCTGGAACTCAAGACTTGGGTACTATCCCTGTTTTGCTCAAGACTAACCCCAGGGCTTCATACATGTGAGGCAAGCACTCTACCACTGAACCACCTTCCCAGCCCTCCAGAATTTTTTTTTTTTTTTTTTTTTTGCCTGTTATGGGGCCTGAACTCTGGGCCTGGGTGTTGTCCCTCAGCTCTTCAGCTCAAGGCTAGCACTCTACCATTGAGTCACCCTCCCAGCCCACCTCCATAATTCTTATCACCCATTTTTAAACAGTTTTTAACACATCCCATTGGTGTCTCTTGTCTCTGCCATTCAAGCCAGCTATGTTTTGGTTAAGCTTTATATGCTTGTGTGGTGGCAGGTGTATGCCAGATTCTTTTTTTTGTTGTTGTTGGTTGTAGAGCCTGAACTCTGGGCCTGGGCGCTGTCCCTGAGCTCTTCAGCTCAAGGCTAGCACTCTACCACTTGAGCCACAGCGCCACTTCCAGCTTTTTCTTCTTATGTGGTGCTGAGGAATCGAACCCAGGGCCTCAGGCATGCAAGGCAAGCACTCCACCACTGAGCCATCTTCCCAGCCCGTGTATGCCAGATTCTGTAAATACAAAGATGACTGAGCCAGATTCCTTGCCCTTCACAAACTCAGTCACCACACAGCCATGCAAGTCACATCCTTAGTTCAAGAATGGCGGGCAAATTGCTGGGTGCTGATGGCTCACGCCTGTAATCCTAGCTACTCAGGAGGAGGAGGATCTGAGGATTGCAGTTCAAAGCCAGCCCGAGCAGGAAAGTCCATGAGATTCTTATCTCCAATAAACCACTAGAAAACCGGAAGTGGCGCTGTGGCTCAAGCGGTAGAGTGCTCACCTTGAGCTGAAGAGCCCAAGGACAGTGCCCAAGCCCAGAGCTCAAGCCCCACAACTGACAAAAAAAGAATGACAGGCAAATGGAGGTAGGTGCAGAGTGCCCTGGGAGCACATCTGTAGGAGTCAGAACACAGAGGAGGTGGCTTTTACCATAGAGAAACACCTAGAAGTGCATTTTCCAGGCGACATCCATGTGGGTGGCTCACACCAATCCTTCCACAGCCACCTCTAATTCAGCCCCCAGATCACACTTCCAGTGCTGTTACTGTCACTAAAGTGTCAAGCCTTTAGCAATTGGAGAGTGTCCCCCCCAGAACCGGGCTCCTGAGCTTGGCTCCACCCAGGGCCCTCCAGGGGGATATTCAGCCAACAAAGCTTTCTCGGACAGCCACGGAGTGTTGGAACTGCTGAGCTTCGATGCTACATCTCCAGCAATTGGTCGGAAGTATGGGTGTCTTTGGGGAGCACCAGGGCCTGGCTGAGGAGCACCAGCCCCACTCTCCCTGTTACTTTCCCAGATGATCGCCATCGGATTGAGGAGAAACGCAAAAGGACATACGAAACCTTCAAGAGCATCATGAAGAAGAGTCCTTTCAGTGGTGAGGCGGGGGTAGGGAGAGCCCTGGAGAGAGGCCGGGAGCAGGACTGGGACAACCTTAGGGGCTGAGAGCTAACCCAGCCCTTGCCCCGCAGGACCTACTGATCCCAGGCCTTCACCCCGGCGCATTGCTGTGCCTTCCCGAAACTCAACTGTCCCAAAGCCAGGTAAAGATTTTCTTTGGTCTCCCTGGAGCAGTGGCTCACATTTCCTCAAGCTGAAGCTGGGGCACGTTCTGTGGCAGCAATGAGCTGAGGCATCGCCTCACCACAGGCGTCTAGCGCTAGTCAGGCTCATCGGGGAGCAGTGCACGTGGCGTGGATTCTTGGGTCCTGGCTCAGAATGGAGATTTTGGAAGTGTGGTGCAGGACCAGCAACTTCCTGTCCATGGAAGTCTGAGGACCATTGCAGTAGTTAAAACCTGAATTGGATTGTTTGTGTTTTTTTTTGTACTAGTCCAGGAGCTTGATCTCAGGGCCTGGGTACTGTCCCTGAGCTTTTTTGCTCAAGGCTAGTGCTCTACCACTTGAGCCACAGCCCTTCTTCTGGCTTTTTTGGTGCTTAATTAGAGATAAAAGTCTCATAGATCTTCCTTTCCAGGCTGGCTTTGAACTATGACTCTCAGATCTCAGACTCCTGAGTAGCTAGAATTACAGGCATCAGCCACCAGCAACTAGCACATCTTTGTGTGTGTGTGTGTGTGTGCGTGTGTGTGTGTGTGTGCGCGCGCGCACGCCACTAACAGGCTTGAACTTCGGGCCTGAGTGCTGTTCCTTAGCTTTTTTACTCAAGGCTGGTCCTGAGTCATTTGCACCACTGCTCCACTTCTGGCTTTTTGATGGTTCATAGGAGATAAGTCTCATGGACTTCCCTGCTTGGGCTAGCTTTGAACCAAGATCCTCAGATCTCAACTTTCTGGTTAGCTTGGGTTACAGGCATGAGCCGCTGGCAACCAGATTTGTCTTCCTCAAGATACAGATGCAGAACTGGGATAGCTACTTCAAGCTCTCAAATGAATTAGGAAAGCAAAAAAACAAAGCACTGCTAACGTAGCAAGAAGTACGTGCTGGTGGATGGCTCAAACAGTGACAAGCACCCACTGCAGGGAGCAGTCTCCCTGAGCGTGCCACAGATTGGGCCCACTTAGAAAAGAGCTTTAAGGGAATTGGTGGGCTTAGGTCAAGGGCTGGAAGCAGATTCAGCAAGCCAGGGCAGATTGAGTAAGTGGAAGGAGCTACTGTGTTGGTAGTGACTGCAAAGGGAGGGGTTCATCCTGAGCACTGTTGCGAGGGTGTGGGGTACAGAGGATGGGGTGGGTTTCTCGTGCTGTCTCTGATCCCAGTCTCTTTGTCTCTCCTCCAGCCCCCCAGCCTTACGCCTTTCCACCATCCCTCAGTACCATCAACTTTGATGAGTTTTCCCCCATGCTGTTACCTTCAGGGCAGATCCCAAACCAGGCCTCAGCTTTGGCACCTGCCCCTACCCAAGTCCTGGCCCAGACTCTGGCCCCTACATCAGCCATGGCATCAGCTCTGGGCCAGGCCCCAGCCCCCGTGCCAAGCCTCCCCCCAGGCCCTCCCCAGTCTGTGGTCCCACCTGCCCCAAAGACCACCCAGGCTGGGGAAGGCACACTGTCGGAGGCCCTGCTACAACTGCAGTTCGATGCTGATGAAGACCTGGGGGCCTTGCTTGGCAACAGCACAGACCCAGCTGTATTCACAGACCTGGCATCTGTTGACAACTCGGAGTTTCAGCAGCTGCTGAACCAGGGTGTATCCATGCCCCACCCCACGACCGAGCCCATGCTGATGGAGTACCCTGAGGCTATCACTCGCCTGGTAACCGGGTCCCAGAGGCCCCACGATCCAGCTCCTAACCCACTGGGGGCCTCAGGGCTCCCCAATGGCCTCTCAGGTGATGAGGACTTCCCCTCCATTGTGGACATGGACTTCTCAGCCCTTTTGAGTCAGATCAGCTCCTAAGAGGGTGATGCCGGCCCTACCCAGAGCACCAGGTTGCAGGGACTGAAGCCCCCCCCCCAAAGCACTGTGGATTCTGGGGAGTGTGCTCCAACTGCCCCCACCTTCTTTGGGTGGCATCTGGGGGCGGCACATTTTATTCTTTGGCAGTGTCTCTCTCCTTTTTGGAGGTGCTTAAGCAGAAGCATTAACTTCTCTGGAAATGGGGAGGACTCTTACTCTCTCTTCCCGTCTTGATGGTGGGCTCCCTTCTCTGTAGGGAACTCTGGAGGCCCCTTCCACAGCCTCCAGCTTACAGCGCTCTCCTGAATAGAGGAGCAGCTGCAACTATGGCCTCCAAGGCCACTAAGCCTTATTATCAAGTGTCTTCCTCACATCACAAATTCATTTACACCACGGGCTAAAATAATGCTCCTATTGCAGCCTCTGTGTGGCATTGCCTGACACCAGCACTTGAGGGGCTGGCCTTCCTGCCCTGTAGGTCTGTACCAGCTCTTTCCTTGCTCAGCGAAGGCTGAAGTCCAGGATCCCCAAGGGAGTGTGGAGACTTCCCTGCTCCCCCTCTTCTCAAGTGCCTTAATAGCAGGGCAAGTTGTATGAGAATAGTGGAGAGTAGGCTGGAAGCTCTTCAGCCAAGAAGCAAGTCTTTAACCGAAGAATCGAAGCAGTTGGACTCTCGCTCTTTCTATTCTGAACTAATAAATATGTTGCCAAGCTGGCCAGGGATTTGTGGTCTTTCAGCAAACACTGAGCTCACTCGGCTCATCATGTCGTGCGGGACACAGGCGATGGAGTCTAGTTACTATGCCATCAACAGGGAAACCCTGAAAGACACCTGTAGTTACCGTCCAAATTTGGGGACCAGGCAGCTGAAGCAGGGCCCCCAGTACTGCCTCGGGATGGAGCCCTCTCAGATCCTTCACAGAGGCCTTCACACTCGTTCAAGGTCTTAGGTCAACAAAGGGTGGATCTCACAGAAAAGCTAGCCAGCTTTTGGAAGCCATTCTGGGAAGCAAACAATTGGGGCAGCCTGTGAGCGCTCTGGAACGCTGCCCAAACAAGTTTGGGATTCATTTCTTGGGTGACCAAGGGGTTTACTTCTGCCTGGGAAAGGGCTGGGGTGGGGGGGGAGATCTCTGCTTATTCCATCAAAGCTCTGATCCCTGTTCTGGGAGGAGCGTTGAAATCCTAGTCCACTGCCTCAGGGGGCCTCGGCCAAGGCCCGGCCATCGCCTTGGTGCTGAAGCTGGATGTCGGCCATGCTTCCGGCTTCAACCTAGCGCACAGCGCACGCGCAGCAGCGAACTGCCAGCCTAGAGCCGGCCATTCCCCAATGTACATGCGCACTGGGGGGGGGAGGGCGCCTCTCTATGGCGCATGCGCACTGGTAACATGAGGGGGCGGGGCACGTATTGCCCTCGGGAAAACCCCGGGGCCGAGGCCTGAGTGTTGATTGACTCCCGGGACATCCTTGGGATTTGCTGCAAAAGTGAGCGAGGCCCCTAAGAGCCCGATCCCGGGTGCCGCACCGGACGGTGGCTGCGAGAGAAGAGAAGGCAGCCCGAAGGCGTCCCACGTCGGTCTCGCGGGAGGGGTCGGGCCTGAGTCCAGGGTGGGCCACAGGACCCGGGCCAATGGGGAGCCCCGGCGGAGTCCCGCCCTCGGGGCGGGGCCCTGCGGCGCGGCTTGTAACCTGGAGCGCGGGTCCCAGCCGGAGGTGGAGAAAGTGCTGAGCCCATTCTCCCGCCAGGATGCGCCCGCCCGGCTCTTCTTGGCTTTCCCAGTGTCCTCCGGTGACCTCCAGTGACCCCCGGAAGCCCTCTCGTGGTCCTTCCCACACTCCCTGAGTGACCTCATCGTGCTCAGGCCTCATCCGGCCCTAGGCCATGTCTCCAGCCCAGACCTTTCACGGGCTAGCCTTCTAGATACTTCCACTAGAAACCTACCCTGGTCCAAGGCCCTCCCCAAGCCTGCCCCTCCTTCTTCTGTCCAAGCCACGTCCTCTCACCTTGCAGGGCTCAAGAAAGAAACCTGGCTCCCACTGTGGAAGCCCCCTCTTCTGCCCGACAAGTGCACCCAGTCCCTACTTCTGCCCGTTGTTACCACTGTGTGTGTGTGTGTGCCAATATTGGGGCTTGAACGCAGGGCCTGGGCATTGTCCCTGAGCTCTTTTTTGCTCAAGGCTAGCATTCTACCACATGAACCACAGCTCCACTTCTGGCCTTCTGGTAGACAATTGGAGATACAAGTCTGGTGGATTTTCCTGCTCAGGCTGAGACATGATCCTCAGATTTCAGCCTCCTGAGTAGCTCGGATTACAGGTATGAGTCATCAGCACTGGTTTAAGTCACCACCACTACCTCCCTTCAGCACTGCTGCTATAGCTTTCTTCCTTCCTGGCTTCCCTGAAGCCATAAGGACCCCAGTCACTAGGGATCCAGATCCTCCAGCTTAGGTTCTGCTTGCTCTTCTTTCTCAGTGTCCTGTGGTAACCTCTGGAACCCCTCTCCCTTTGAATAATGTATCAACCACATGGTCAGATCTAGGTCTGTGCAGACACACCCCTTGAGTGACCAGAGCCATCCACACTGCCCTTGAAGGCTGCTCACTGTAGTCTCCATCCAGGAAAAGTCCCAGGAATTGTTGATCTGGGATTCCTACTGCACCCATCACAACCCTTTCCATCCAGTTCTGGCCTCTTCCACCCTGGGTTCTGCATGTGCCTAACTCTAGTTCATTAGGCCTTAGACTGGCCCTACTGGGGTACCTTTAACATCTCTCTCAGGTGAACTCTTACTCAACCTCAAAACTCAGCCTTCAGGGCTGGAAATGTGGCTCAGTGGTAGAGTGCTTGCCTAGCATGCATGAAGCCCTGGGTTCCATTCCTCAGAACCACATAAACAGAAAAGACCAAAGTGGTGTTGTAGCTCAAGTGGTAGAGGGCTAGCCTTGAGCAAAAGAAGCTCAGGGACTTGCCCAGGCCCTGAGTTCAAGCACTAAGACTGGGGAAATTCAAAACAAAACAAAAAACAGGACTGGGAATGTGGGGCTTAGTGGTAGAGTGCTTGCCTAGCATGCATGAAACCCTGGATTCTACTCCTCAGTACCACATCAACAGAAAAGGCCAAAGTGGCACTGTGGCTCAAGTGGTAGAGAGGCAGCCTTGAGCACAGAGAGGTTCAGGCACAGTGCTCAGGCCCTGACTTTAAGCCCCAGGATTGGCAACAAAACAACAACAACAACAAATAAAACCATACACACACACAAAAACAGCAACTCAGCCTTCATATCTCTTTTCATACTCACTCACAGTATAGGCTACTGAGCCTATAACATCCTGCCAGAACCTAAGTTAACAGGTTCAGGGCCTACGTCTCAGAACAAGCTTCTCAGAATAAGCCAGTCAGGAGCAAGGGCTGGGTGAAGCATGTGATTCTGAGCAAGTCAGTGCTTTGGCTGGGACTCAGATTACAAAACAAAGGGTTTAGATAAAAGTCCAAGTTTGAACCTGATGATGCCACTCACAGGAAAAGCCCAGCCTGGTGTACAGAGGGCGTCATGAGCCAGTGAGCCAAGAAGGGGGTCCTCTGGGACATAGAACAGAGAAGCTGCCATCCTTGAATTGGAGCCTGCAAGCTCAGTTGCCTGGCCAAAGAAATACCAGGTTCAGGAGCTCTTTGTCTGGAGAATGGAGGCCTGGCTGAGCGCCAGTGGCTCATGTTTTTTAATCCCTAGTGACTCAGGAAGCTGAGATCTGAGGACTGAGGTTTGAAGCCAGCCACAACAAACAAATAAGACTTTTTTCATGGGGCCTGAAGCCTGGGCCTGGGCGCTGTCCCTCAGCTCTTCAGCTCAAGGCTAGCGCTCTACCACTTGAGCCACAGCACCACTTCCAGCTTTTATTTTTGCTTAGGTGGTGCTGAGGAATCGAACCCAGGGCCTCAGGCATGCAAGGCAAGCGCTCTACCACTGAGCCACCTTCCCCAGCCCCAAATCAGAGACTCTTATCTTCAATTAACCAGCAGAAATCTAGAAGTGGAGCTGTGTGTCTCAAATGATACAGTACCAGCCTTGAGCAAAAATTGCTAAGCAAAGAGCTGCAGACCCTGAGTTCAAACCCAAGTAATGGCACGAAAGCAAGCAAGGAAGCCTGTCTTGGGAGACAAGGTATCATGAGGCATAGCTAGGCTGTCCTTGACCCCCTAAAAACTCCATCTTTTCCTGTCCCTCGAGGTTCACCCTGCTTTCCCATCTCTGACCTCAGCCCCTCAAGTTTGTTTCCAGGGCTGGGAGATATCCCTAGATATGGCCACCTGTTTCTGAAGACAATCGAAAACTTATTTGTGTCAGCCCTGGGGCTTGAACTAAGGGCTTGGTTACTGTCCTTGAACTTTTTCTGAAGGCTAGAGCTCTACCACTTGAGCCACAACTCCCTTCCCTGCTTTTTTGATAGTTTATTGGAAATAAGAGTCCTGCCTGGGCTAGCTTTGAATTACGATCCTCAGATCTCAGCCTCTTAATTAGCTAGGGTTACAGGCGTGAGCACCGGCACCTGGCTTGTGTTTGTCTTCAATCCACCAGCAGAAAGCTGGAAACAGAGATGTGATTTAAGTGGCAGAGCACCAGTCTTGAGCAAAAAAGCTAAGGGACAATACCCAGGTCTCTCTCTCTCTCTCTCTCTCACACACACACACACACACACACACACACACGAGTTCTAAGTGGCTTGAATTGGGTGTGGCTTGTGGGCAAATTCTGCTAAGTGTCATGAACACAAGAACAAACTTCTTTATTCCCTGCTGTCCCTTTTTCTCCGTAGACTATTTACACATGGGGCAGGTGAGAGCGCTTCACCACCAAATGGGCTGGGGAGTGCGCGGGCAGCGCGAGCACGCGCCATGGCGCGGAGAGGTCCTGAGGCCCAGGGCCGCCTGTGTGGCCCAGGGATCCTGACAAGAGCCGGGCAGTCCGCGTCAGGCCAGGTCGGTGGCAGGCGCGCCCCGCGGCTCGGAGGCCAGGAGGAGGCGTGCGGCCGCACTCTCGGACTGGGCCAGCAGCCGCTGGTTGTTGTGGCGGAGGCTCCTCACCTCCTCCTCCAGGGCGGCCCGGTCTGCCTTCTCCTGGGGACAGGCGGGGGTTAGGGCGGCCGTCCCGTCCCGTCCCCTTCCCCGGCGGCCCTGAGACTCCCTGCCGAACTCCCTCACCTTCTGCAGGTCCTCCTGCAGCTTCCTCAGCATGGACTCGAGGTGCGAGACCTTCTCCGACAGGCTCCCGGGCTCTGGCCTACCGGAGGAAGAGCGGAGCTCAGCGGGGAGCAAGCAGGGTGGGCTCCCAGGCAGCCTTGAATATCAGGGCCCCCACCCCTATTTTCGGGTGGCCACACAGGCATGGGGGTGGGCGATGAGCGTGGGGGGTGCCTTACTCAGCATCAGACTTAGGGGTTCCCTGGGGGTCTCTGCTGTCCGGCACGGGCTGTCCTGTGGAACAGGGGTGGTGTGGGAGGGGCTGCCAGGGAAACCGAGCCCCAGCCCCGCTCCTGTCCCCAGTGCCTGGGGGAGGGGGCGCCTCACCCTCTCGGGACAGTGACTCTAGAATGGTGTTGCAGGTGGAGGCGATCTCTGAGATGGACTGCCACTCGTCCTCCAGGGTTTCGCTGCTGGCCTCCGACATGACTGTGGCCAGAGGAGAGGCGGGTCACCGGGGGAGGGGCGATCCTCGGACCCGCCCTCCCGAGCCCCCTGCCTCCCGACTCACTCTTGCTGATGGAGTTGCGTAGAGACAAGGTCCGTGGCAGGAAGGAGGCCCGCAGCTCTGGGGCCGCCTGCTCCTGGTCTTCATGGCGGCGAGAGCTGCCTGGCGGGTCCTAGGGGCGGGGCAGGGGGTAGAGTGGCGCCACCCACGTTCCCCTGCTGCCAGCTTCCAGAGCCCCCGGGCCCTGCTCACCTGGGAGGGGGGTGTGTTCCTGCCAGCACTGGGGGCTGCGGGGGCTTTGGCTGTGGCAGCCAGGAGGAGGTCCGGGGTAGTGTTGGGCAGGACTGGCGCCTCATCTGACAGGGAGCTGGGGAGAGCGGGCGGCTCGCACTGCTGCTTCCCCCCCTGTGTGTCCCGGCCCCGCCAGCCAGGGGAGACAGCGCACCTGCGCGGAGACGGTGAGCTCTGGCAGCGCAAGAACTCGGTTCTCTCCTCAGGCAGTTCCCCGGGCCCTGAAGGGCAGCTGCCATCTTGCAGGCACAGGTGTAGCAGCTGCTTTGTGTGGGACAGCAGGACCACCTCTGGGGTCTCATCCTGCGTGGGCTCCGAGGCCCCCCGCCGGCTGGGCTCCTGCAGAGACAGCGTGTACAGCTCCGAAAAGCTCCTGGGGGTGGGGGCGGGGAGGCAGCGTCAGGCAGGGCTCCCTAGTATTCCAGTGTCCTGTCTCACCAGCCCCAGCCCACGTGCTGCCAGAGGTTCCATTCCAGGAGGGGAGCTCCCCAAGCTCCCTGGCACCCCTGACACATGTAAGTCTAGCTACTGGCCGTTTTCCAGACCTGCCTCCAAATCCCAGAGCTCGCCCGTGTGCCCGGGCAAATCATTGTGAATGTCAGTTTCTCTGTCTGTGAAACAGAATGCCAGTTCTGCTGTTCGCATGCTATGAGTTTATCAATGTTGAGGTTTGAAGCCAGGCACTGGTGGCTCACGTCTGTAATCCTAGCTACTCAGGAGTCTGAGATCTGAGAATCGAGATTCAAAGCCAGCCCGGGCAGGAGAGACCGTGAGACTCCTATCTCCAATAACCACCAGAAAACCAGAAGTGGTGCTATAGCTCAAGTGGTAGAGCG